CAAACCTATATTTATATCAAATCCATCTACACAATGAAGCCACCAAAGTGATCAAAACTGTATTTTCTTTACCACCGTGGTGGTTTCAAACATTCAAGATTCTTATTGTAAGATATATGTGGAGTTTTTGATTTAACCTCAAAAAGAGCCTTTATGGAGTGGAACACCAACACATATATATGTATAGGACCATGTCATGTGGATATGTGATACTTTAACACTTATATTTATACCAAAAATTCAATTGACCATTAGGCCCTTCAACTCACTCTGCCGAGGCAAAACTAGTAAGATTTATCTCCGTTGATTTTCTCCTATCAACATCTAAAATCACATCATCTCCACATTTAAACTCTTTAAAACAAGCCACCCTTCCTAATTCTTCAACTTCCTCAATTACAAGATCAAGTCTTGCGACCAACTCAACCAACAAAGCTACAAAAGCAGCAATTGGAAGCGCTTCGGAAAACTCCAAGCTTGTGATCGCAAACTTACTTAATGATGGCCTTAAAAATTTCCCTGCACCATCCGGAGCCCCCTTCGGTTTCCTATCAATAGACGTAGGTGAGTCCATGTTTATGCTTGAAAAATGGTGTTCATACTTTTGTTTTGCTGTTGATGTAAGCATGGCTAATATTTTAGGTGTGTTTTGAGCTGTATTTGGCCCGAGAAAGAGTCGTGGTTGTGACTTTAATGCAACGTCGAGGTCTTGCAGTGCTTGTTGAAGCGGCTCGGTGAGGAGTTCCAGCGAGCAGTGTCGTCGGTTTTTTATGCTATAGGCAAGCTCCATTAGGGATCTTGTTACTTCAGATGCAAGGTGAATGCATGGATCCTTGAATAACAGTTTAACTGATCTTGGAGTCTTAAAAAATAAACCAAAATACATTATAAGATTGAAAGCATTTAGATCAACATCGACAAAGCAACCCATGAATAGAATAATAACATTTAAATATGTTAATTTCTAGACTTTTCTTCAAAAAAGTTATAAAGATAAATGACAAACCCAAAATATATGTCTAGGTGAATAAGATTGTGCTAAACAACAAAAACAATTATAAATGACTTGATAACTATTGTTAGTTCCTTATATTAAAAAGTTAATATGGTCTCTACAAATCACCCTATGAAGAAAAGCAATAACGATCACTACAATAATATGATATCCTTTTGACACTGGTGTCGCCATGGTTCCAAAGAGTTGAATGTCGCCATATTTAAATAACAAAATTTGCCATTATGTAGTGTTTTGGTAGACTTGGTAATAAATGTGTGTATTGAAAGAGTTTGATTCTAGCTTTACTCATTTAATTTTCATATCATATATCAACTTGTATTCTTTTACAAGTTAATCTCTTTCCCTCAAACTAGTTTATTTCGTGTTTTTTTATTGGGTTTGGGGTTTAGATTTTATAAACTTGTCGTATCAAGTTGAAAGAGTTTAACCATAATCTTAAATATTTAATTTCACTGTCATGTTTTAAAATCGAAATTGATTACTCAAACCTATTTATTTCGTATCGAGTAGCATCCTAGGTGAGTTTTTGTCAGGTCTAGTGTTTGGTTAGTATTTCAAAAATATACGCTAAAATTAAAGATCTAATAGCATGTTCTTAAACTAATTTCTTTAAAAAAAGAATCTAACCTCATGCAAATTATATTATTAGATCTTAGCAGAAATAATTTATTTAGCAAGCTGTAGATAAAAGACTTGATTCCCTTGAGATCGGAAAAGAATATTCATTTAGCAGACTTATTTATTTATGCTTTTAGAGCTAGCTTTTCAGCGGTTAGATAATGCATGTCATGTATAATCTACGCCATACAAAAGAATAAATTATTCATTCGATTTTTAATTTTATTCATCACATAATAATGTACTCACTCGTATTTCGGTTTGTAAACTTCCACGAAGAGCAACAACTCCGTACCCAAAATGACGAAGAACGCTTCCTATTTTCACGTATTGTTGCCCCGGAAATTTGTGGCACTGCCACGTGTATCGAGGCTCCCAACTTGCATGGTGCGCCTGTTCGTACGTACGTATGTATATTAACATTAATAAGATTAATAACATCTTCGATTATTACCACATTAAATAAAGAGGATATTTAATTGAATTATTCTTAAAGTTTTATTTTTAAGAAATTTATAACAAAAAAAAAAAAAAAAAAAAAAAAAAACTTACGAGCGTTTCATCGGTCGATTTGGAGTCCAAAACCGCCTTATAATTCTCATAAATCTGATCCTCCGATATCATCTCATCTCTTTCTACATCCCGTTCTTCTTCACAGAAGTATGTAGTGACACAAGCTACATTTCGTTGTACATTTGGAAGCACAAATAAGTAAAAAAATTTAAACAAACGAAAGCAAATATTTCGAAATTTACCTTCGATTGATTTTGCAAGTCCTTCGATTTTGGAAACAGTGTGATTATGGAGATCTTCTCCGGACCAATTTGGGAAGATGAAGAGACTCATCAGAATGCAAATCCCAGAACCAATGCCGATCATATATGTCCGCCCTTCGGCTAGTTTCATAACATCATCCACTCGATAACTCGATACAGTGATCAAGTTAAACGTCAACAGAAATACTAATACACCGTAATCATAGTTCTTTTTTACTTTGGGGAAAAATCTCAAAAATGTAGTCGATGTGCCTGTGAAAAATGAAACGAAATAGTTTCACAACTCCATACAATTGTGGCATCAAATTAAACTACAAATACGAAACGATTCTTGTTTATTTGTATTACCAATCAAGAAAATCGAAGCTCCAATGAAAATAGCACGAAAAACCTTTCCATATTCTCGAGCTATAAACTCGAATAAGAAAGCCAACGATGCTGCTAACATCGTCCCAAACCCTCGATTGAATCCTTTGCATAAAGTTGCTCCTATCATATCAAATTATAGTACAATAAGTATACATATATAATGATTATATATAAGTACCTGTATGTACGTGTATATATATTATATAACTTAATTACCAGCAGTGAATTCGAGAACAACGACGACAGTCATGACTGCCCAAATCGCATTTTCTCCGACTCCTTTGAACAATGGCTCCATTAGGTACAACAAAGAGACTGCAGTTACAGAAAACCCGACTTTAAGAGCGTGGATTACCCTTCTCGGATCATCTCGACCCACTTTCCATATTTTGCCACATAAGGATCCCAGAAATCCTTTCGTCTTCTGCATGAAACTAACAGGTTTCTGTTTTAAACACTCGATCGTCATGTCCTACTTTGCATTCAAGGTTTCTTGATAAACAACTTCTGGGTTTCTTGATAAAGGAGATATACTTTAAGCACTACGCAGCATATGATACCCTGAAGCTTTTGTTGTATTTGTAGGTGTTTTGTGTCATTGTGTGGAAGACGGATGATTTTTGTGCGTCCACATGTTCTTCCTTTTGAAAGTGATATAGAATTTAAGGACATGTACATATTTAAAAATAATTTATTGTTGAATATAGATATATATGTGAATGACAATATACCGATTTATTTACTTTCTTTAAGAATTAATGATTGCCTATAAGATAACAACAACCACGTATATTTTTTTGGGTTTATGATAACGATTGTGATTTGAGACATTACTTATAGCATGATTTCAGTTTGCTTTTTTTAACAGAAACTCTACTTCATGAAATGTTTTAAAATACGTATAAAAGTCAAAAATTAACTCTTTGGTCTTTATGTGTTGATATGTGATTGGGTAGTTGGCATTTTGTCATCGGGTGTAGTGTAGGGGAATTTCAAATGCGACAAAAGTAAACATTTACGAGTTAGAAGGTAAAGAGAGCAAAAAATATGTTTGTCAATATTTCGGTTTTCTTTTTAATGGTTGACCTAACACTGTGACATTTAAGCTGAAGTTGTATTTAATTTAATTGTTATAGTAACAGGCTAACAGCTGTCCCTTTCAGTTTCTTTCTCGTTTGGTAACTACCTGTTATAATATTTTTGCACTATAAAAGGTGTTGAAAGAATTGAACCATAAAAGCTATCAACAGAATCGAACCAAATCAGTTTTATCTTAGTATGATTTGGTTTAACAAAGTTTAAGTGGTTATGCAACAATTCAACCAACATATAATTTTTGAACATCATATGTGATTATAAGTTAGTTAAATGAAAAAAGTTATTGAGCTAGGATATCAGTTCCAACTTTAGATCGCAATCTTATGAATGTGACTTGCGTATGGAAAAAAAAAATATCTCTTTATATAAATCTATATGTATATGATAATATTATCAGACCCACTAATTCGTTTATGTCGATCGATGCTCATCGTTGAAATTAAAAAGAAATTCAATAATCAAAAGGAACAAATTAAAAAGATATCCATTCAATAATCGAAAGTAACGTATCAAGCTCTCTCACCAGTCAATTATCCATCGTCACCCATTTAAATTATTTGGTACAGCAATGTCAGCAAACACCAAAGGGCAAAGGCCCTTTGATCATGACATGGTGCCTCTCAATCGAAACTGTTGTGTATGTTAACTAGGATGGAACTATTTATATTGTTATAGGTTAGAAATTTAAATTCAAGATTTATAAATTACATGTTTTAGTTTCTCCTTGATATCACTAAACTAATATTATTTATTACTAATATGATTGGAGTGGATTGAACAAACTTTTTAGAACTCTTTTCGATAAGGACTATTTTCAATAATGATATGATGATAACGAGGGCAATTAAGTCTTTTGCAAGTGGATATTTGTTCAATTTTTTGGTACAACAAATTATTAAAGCTGGCTTCTACTCAAAAGAAAAAAAGATTCCTTTTATCATGTGAAATGCACTACAAAGTGCATAAAGTCTTATGAGCTTATTTTTGAACACTGTAATGTTGTTTTAACCACAACTTAATTCAACACCACATGAAAAAAAAAAAAAAAAAAAATACCAATAGTGCGTTCTGTATATACATCACAACCTTAATAAACTGCTCTTCAAATTATAAATTTATAATCAGTTGGCTAAAGGGTTAAGAGGTGGCCCTAAAAACACGAATCTCTGTTCAATAGCGACCCTGAAGATTGGACATGTGGCCTTGGCCATCCGTTTTGTTCCATATTCATCATTGCAACTCGCATAAAGAACCTGATGAGCACAAGGCAAGAATACCACAGAAACCTCATCTTTCAAACAGATTATGCAATCACCATCGATTCTGGTTTCTTTTTCATCAAAATCATCAAGATTGTCGAATTCATGGAGCATTCTTGCAATGGTTGGGTGGGACCCATTTGTGGTGTGTGGGGGTATAGATATATTAGTGGTTGAGTTTTGTAATTTGTCTGAGTTGGTTGACATGGTTTTGAGACGTGAGAGTTCTTGTTCGAGTCTTTGGAGGTCATCTTTGTGGCGTTGAAAGTCGAGCTCTATCTTTGACCGGAGGGCTTCGTGCTTTTTTTTGTTGTTGGCATATATATGTTGGTTTTTTTCAGTTCCCTATCTTCATGCACTTGTGCTAAAACTAGCACTAAATAAAAGGAGGGTTCTTAGAAAACATATCTAGGTGAAGTATTTTCATTTTAATAGAATATACAATGTATAGTCATTACTAATTAATTAGATGAGTATGCTATGAAATCAAAAAATAAAAACACATAAACAAACTTTACTAACTTAATTAATACTCAAAATAACATAAAATAAACAAGAACCATAATGATTTGCTAGAGAGAGGTTAGACTATCGAGAGCTAGCCTCACCCCCAAGGTATCAATACCAGATTTCAAAAAAGATGATATTCTCCTCTTCCACTGTTAGCTTAATACTATTCACATAACAAATAACCACAGGACAAAAATTACAAGCTTATCCTTCTACTTGAATTAAAACATAAATTGCCCAAATTACCTTTCCACTAAACGATTTTATTTATTCTTATTGATAAAATTATTCAATCTTGCCACTTTATCAAGATTTTTTTTAATCAAGTTCCTTGTGTAAAAACTCATAAACTTCTCGACATCAACAAATCTCTTTTATTTATGATACCATCCACTTGGTTTTCATGTACTTACAAATCAAACTCACTCTCATATAGTTATACAAGAAAGATTACACATTGTATTACAGAGAATACCTAATAACCTAATGAAATTGGTATAAAACCCTAATTCTCTAATAGAAGAAAACAAGAGAACTAGCTAGAGAGAATATGTGAGAATGTGGGAAAGTATTGCTCTCCATTTAGTCGGGCCACCTGATGACCCACGGGTTATTAGGATTCACGTGTTTATTCTTGCAAAGCTACCAATAAACGAGCCTCAATCCAAGTCTGTCCCATAATAACCATATTAAACTTGTAACCATAAATAATAAAAAACCAAGGATTCCAAATGACAAAAACCTACCTTGCAAACAAATAAACCACAACAACTACCAAAAATACAACCAAATGTTAAGATTGCATAATAAACCTTACATATTTCAACATTCCCCTCAACCTAAACATTTTATTTAAAGTCTTTTTATAAAACACATCAATTAAGCCAATTTTTTGGTTAACTTTAACTACTTTCGTTATTTTTTCCCTAACAAAATGTAAATCAACTTCAAAATGTTTAGTTTTTTCATGAAGTATTGGATTTAAATCAAGCTTAATTGCAAAATCATTGTCGAAAAATGCATTAACCGGAGTTAATTCCTTTATTACAAAATCAAACAAAGTTTTTGAAATCCAAATAATTTCACAAGTTATACATCCTATGTTGCAGACCTCAAAATTGTAGGTTGTTTCTTACTTTTCCATGAAGCCAAAGAAGTACTAATACAAACCATGCATATAACTAGTAATCGGCCTTCTAGTTGACAAACACTTTGCCAAATCAACTAATTGTTTTAAACTATTCTAACTTTGTTATAGAAACGCCTTTACCAAGACTACTTTTAAGATATCTTAACAGACTGAAAGTAAATTTTAAGTGTGAATTTCTAGGCTTATGCATGTATTGACTCAAAATCTGGACACTATATGATATATCCGGTCCAGTAATTGTGAGATAGATTAACTTTCCTATGAGTTTCTGAAACATAGTAATATTAACTAACAAATCATCATTATTATCCAGATCATTAGGTTTTATAACAAAATTAGCCTCCAAAGGTGTTTTTACTAGCTTGCACCCAAGCATACTAATAAGGTATATATGTTGGATTGGTCATGTAACCTCTACATCGTTCGGCAAGACCGAACCTTGAATACGCTTAACGAACAGGCCAAACCCTTCATTGATCAAATATTATGCCGAGCTGAGGAGTGAATAGTCAGGCCATTAGAAAGTAAGAGTGATCACGTATGCGAACCGAAAAGACTGGGATGGATAAACATCAATATCACCAACAAACAGGCTGTAAACTACCATTGAAAATCGTAACAATACACATGTTCTATTGTGTGACAACCGACAATTTTCAGTCAAGTCAAATTCAAATAAAGTCAACGGGTCAAATCGGACAACTCATCTAACCCTTGTATATCAGGGTTTTCCTTATGTTTAAAGTTGTACAACTGATTATGCTAATAAGAAGTTATCACTTGGAAAGTTCATTCGTTCAGAGATTTTAAACCCAAATCGGGGTAAGTGATGAAACTATTCGATAAAACATTATTTCGTACCCCTCGGGGGCATATAACACTCATGACAAGGCTAAATGGAGTTTACAAACCATGCATTTCGAAGTTAAACACTCGCAAAGGTCACAAACTAAGTCTCTCTCAATCTCTCTCGCACTATCTCTCTCTATCTTAAATCTCTCCTAAATCTCTCTCATAATTTACCTCAACTCTTATAATGATTTGGGGGCAACCCGACCCTTAACTTGGCAAAAAATTGCGCAAAACGGAGAGTTTACGCAAAAAACAGCTCTTAAGAACCAAACCCTAATAAGGAACTGAAACCTCTCATAGGACCGAAGTTACCTTCGGGTTCGGCCCCTTTCTTCTTCGTGTTCGGCTCCCTACGTCTTCGGGTTCGGCTCCTTACACTTTCGTGTTTGGCTCCATGTACCTTCGGTTCGGATCGGACCCTTCGGACCGAAGCTCCATCTGTACACTTCGCCTTCGCCTCCCACGTGATACTTTCGCTTCTCAGCGCCATGGACCGAACCAAACTCTCAGTTCTAAGCATGTAACGACCGAACTTCGGTCCTAAGGTCAGAAATTTCGCAGATTCACTTCTAAGACCTGTTTTTCGACCATGACTTCGTTTTAAGCCTATTTTCCATGATTTTAACGCGAGATTTTCACCCAAACTTATATTTTGACATAAGAGACCCTAAATATTCATAATTTAATCATATTTGGAGGAAAATCATGGCCTAAGAATAAAATCTAGTTGATGAGATATTTAGGTGGAGTGTTGACTTATCCTTTGGGCAAGGACACAAGCAACCTCCCACACCCACTCCATAGCCATACCCAGCTACTATTTATCACTATTCAGTCAATCATTGTCCTTTTTACACTCATTTATTCAGCCATACTCTTGAACAAAAGCTGGAAGTCCTTATCTCTCCTCCCATTTCACTCATTCTCCACCAAAAAGCAAGACCCATTCCCCTCTCACATCTCTCTCTAAAACTGCTTATCACTGTAGCTTCGAATTCAGACCAGTTAGTGAATATGAACGTTTTCACACTAGTTAGAGACTTTTAAAAATCACAATAAAATTTATGGACAAACTAGACACATTTTCTAAACTCTTAGAGTTTACGGATTTAGTTTTCGATTTCGTATGATTTTTCTATAATTATTCCAAGAACAGGAACATAAAAGATAAAACTAGCAAATTGTTGATAACTCATTTACACCTTGTAACTTGCTGAGAAAGGTGTGTATTATCATATATAAATACATGTTAGTTATATTACATGTCTTTTACCTCATTATAGAGGTTTACATCATATGCAAAGAGGATTTCTCCCATTACAAAACGTTTTTGATAAACTATAATAGGTATAGTATATGTTTCGTATACATTACAAACATTTATGATAAACTATGGTAAGTATAGTTTATGCTTCATATACATTATAAACATGTTTCCATTAACACAACAAACACATTTTGGAAGGTTTTATTCCCACGGAAAAAGGTTTTACACTCACGCACACTACATGTAAACTTGTTAACGTAAATTGTGAGACATTCCTCTTAGTACTCCTAAAGTACGGGTTAAAACTCCTGGTAGTTATAATCAGAGTCTCTTGTAGGGAGAACGTGATAGTTGTTTATAGATATATATTGGGTCTAACAAACTCACACCTGAGCTGCATGCAACAGCTAGACCGACAGTTCTGGGGTGACAAGTGTCATTATTTTTTTCGATGCCTGAGAAATATCGTGGTAGGTTCATTAGTCATAGTATGGTTATAGCGACTCACATAGGGAGTTAACAACACATAAATTTACGAGGGATTTTCTCAAATCAGAAAGGGTTTTATGTCGATTTAAAATCACTTTTTATATCAATAAGTATGGATATTACTTGTACATTTCGGTCTTGGTATTTAAGACTACACATCACTCTTGTAAGGAAAATATTGGATTTTTCCTTGTAACATACAACTCATTACAAAGATCGGTTTCCAAACTCTTCATCTAAAAAGCTTATGAAATCACTAACTTAATTGTTGACACTTTTTCAAAACTACTTGTATTCTCAGGGAATCAACGAAACCAAGTAACCACAAGCTTTTGAGGATGGAACGCTACGGCGTTGAACAACTATTTTTGTATCATGTTGTAATCAATCACTAAAATATGTAGCACTTGAAACCATGTAATTCTTTTCCGATTATATTTATGATTGGTTGTATTTACTTTGAGCACTATTATACTCGTTGTTGTGATACTATACATGGAGTCTGCCACCCCCCGAACGTTTCCGTCATCCTTGGTTTGGGGGTGTGACATATTGGAAGTTAATAACGACTCTTTCTAAGTACAACCCTTTGTACCTTCGGCAAGAAGAGCATTAATGACAACTAGACGAGGGCTCGTTCGGTCTAGCTAAGGAGAACACTTCTTGATAAAATAATTATAAAGATTGACCAAGACGAGATACACAGGTAAACAATAACAAACACGTTTAACGAATTACATAGATTTAATATTTGTTAGTCAACTGAATTAACCATCAGAACGTTCTTCGATGACCATCTCCTGGTGAACACCTGACAAGTTGTGGTGGTTTTCAAGTTTGAAATATTAGCTCTCTATGAGATCCAAAAGCTCAGCAAGAAGGTGAGGTATAAGTTGGATTGCCAAGAAAATGCTCCCCAAAAGTCTTCCTCCACTTCAA